AATTCTTTGAGCAAAACTCTCTGCTCTTCAGGCGATAGTCTTCTCAATGTTTGGTTACACTTAAGGCATAAACCTTTTCGTCCGATCGATGTCTCAAATCTTTTATAAGATAACCTTTCCATGAGTTGATTGAACTTTGCGATTAAATCCATATCAAAGACTATTAATTTGTTGCTAAGAATTTGCAATATGTTTAGTGTTTGGTCTAAATTAAGCTGAGAATCGTTGAGAGAAGCAATAATTTTGGGCATTAATTGCTTGTCGACATTCATGTCTGAAAAACGTCTCATCAAATCAAATGATTGTTCAAAAAGTCTGAACCGAATGCAAGAATCAATTATACGATTGATTAGATTGTAATCGACGGTCTTAAGTGAATCCAACAGTTGTATGGCGTGAAGACAATTGTCTGGTGAGGATTGCGTCAAACCTATGATGCAGTCACTCATCACCGGATGTGTGATCTGATTGTTGTTATATTTCTGCAGTAAGTCATCGCTGGTCTCGCGGATGAGTTCAATGTGTGAGCTGTCGATGAAGTGATTGAAATGACTGATGAAATGGCAGAACCGAGAGGAAGCGATGCTATTGTTGACCACATTTGGCAACACTTTTATGAAACCACTCAAAGAAGTGAACAGTTTTTGGTCTACTTTTTGACAATCGGTTCCGTTATTCAACAGAAAAGCTGACATCAAATCAATTTCAAAATTATGTCTGAAGACCAGCCTTTGTTCAGTGAGTTCAGCGACCAATTGATTCCAATCGATATTACCATTGGTCTCAACATTCTTCTTGAGGACCAGCTCTTGAATAGTTTGTAGTTTCGACTCTTTTATCATCTGTTTGTCTCTCAAATACTTCAGACTTAAGTGTCTATTAATTGCAATCAAACCAATCGATTGACATCTCATGAGGAGAGGTCTGACAGAGAGTGCAATGATTGCAGTCATCGCACACATTGACCACAAGAAGTCACCGAAACCACAGTTCACTTACCGCTAGAAAAATAATCACTTGTTTTCACACAAAACACAAAATAAGTTCACGTTTTGATCGCTATATAAATGACGACAACTTTTCTCTCCAAAAACAACACTATTTTCTCACAAATTGTTTGTTTTGATTGCAAACACGTGTTGTTAAAAAACAACACACATTTGAAAACAATCATAATTTAGTTGTATTTTCATTGGCTTTTCACTACAAAAATGACTAAAAAGATACGAAATAAATGTAAGTCTATTTGGTTTTCATTTGATTTGCATTAATGACTGAACGCATGAACTGTTTAGATAAGGATTTGAGTGAATCTGAGCTCAAATTAATGACAATTCAGGACATAATCAAAGAGTTGCTGAAGAGTCTGAGTGCCGGACAGGACGTGAACCTGACTCGACTCAAGTGCGATATCTCCCAGAAGTACGGCCTGTCATCTCAGCCCCGACTGGTGGACATCATATCGTGTATACCTCACGAACACAAACAGCTATTACTTCCCAAACTTCGGGCCAAACCTATCCGTACGGCCAGTGGTATAGCAGTGGTGGCAGTGATGTGTAAACCCCATCGGTGTCCACATATTAGTTATACGGGAAATATATGTGTAATTAAGCCATGATTTACTCAATTACTTCATGTTTTTATCGCATTATTATCATCTCTGCAGGTCTACTGTCCCGGCGGTCCTGACAGTGATTTTGAGTACTCGACCCAATCATACACTGGTTATGAACCGACATCTATGAGAGCCATCAGATCCCATTACAATCCATACCTCCAGACACGCAATCGTATCGAGCAGTTGAGACAATTGGGACATAATGTGGATAAAGTGGAGTTCATAGTAATGGGCGGAACTTTCATGTGTTTGACCCCTGAGTACAGAGACTATTTCATCCGCAATCTTCACGACTCACTGTCAGGTCATTGCAGTTCTTCAGTAGAAGAAGCGATTCGTTTCAGTGAAAAGAGTCGAACCAAATGTATAGGAATTACGATCGAAACGCGTCCCGATTATTGTCTTAAACGCCATTTGGGAGATATGTTGAGCTATGGCTGCACTCGACTCGAAATAGGAGTTCAATCGGTTTACGAAGACATAGCGCGCGACACTAATCGCGGACATACTGTCAAAGCTGTCACCGAATCCTTCCAATTGGCAAAAGACTGTGGTTTCAAAGTAGTGGCACATATGATGCCTAACTTACCGAATGTGGACCTCGAGAGAGATATCCAACAGTTCATTGAGTTCTTTGAAAACCCAGACTTTCGTGCGGATGGACTCAAGATATACCCGACTCTTGTAATTAGAGGAACCGGTCTCTACGAGCTCTGGAAGAACGGCAGATATCGTAGTTATAGTCCATCGGTTTTGGTTGACTTATTGGCGCAGATCTTAGCTCTGGTGCCGCCGTGGACTCGGGTCTATAGAGTGCAGAGGGATATACCGATGCCTTTAGTCACCTCAGGTGTAGAACACGGAAACATCAGAGAACTGGCCCTCAAAAGAATGAATGATTTCGGAACCAAATGCAGAGATATCCGCACCCGAGAGGTCGGCATTCAAGAGATTCATCATAAGATCAGACCCGAAGAAGTGGAACTAATCAGAAGGGATTACGCGGCGAATGACGGGTGGGAGACATTCCTCTCGTATGAAGACGTAGAACAGGATATTCTGATCGGACTCTTGCGACTCAGGAAGTGCTCGAAACAGTCGTTTAGACCCGAACTTAAAGGCAGAGTTTCTATAGTAAGGGAACTACATGTTTACGGCACTGTAGTGGCGGTGTCATCGAAAGACCCGACAAAGTTCCAGCACCAGGGCTTCGGTGCCCTTCTCATGGAAGAGGCCGAACGTATTGCCCGACACGAGCACTACTCCCACAAGATTGTCGTCATCTCCGGTATGTCTCACTTGTCATTCAGTTATGGATTCTATGATTACTTTAAATCTGTTTTCTCCGATATAGGGGTCGGAACGCGAAACTATTATCGCAAACTTGGATATCATTTGGACGGACCCTATGTTTCTAAAACTTTAAACTAATGTATGAATAAATAGTTTATTTTACAGTTTATTTTAAATACAAATATTTGTTTAATTTATTGACTCTTTAAATGTTGAATGAATTTTGATGTAAAATAAAAACATATTTGAATTAAAATATAAATTTTTAAGTCTTTGAAAGATTCACTGCTTTCACTGTTTTGTGCACTCATTGCAGTCAACATCGCATGCATTGCATTGCAGTGACACTCAGTGTTACTGTTAGACAATCAGTGCATTGAATTGCGTTATAATCGTAACATTGCTTACTGTCCACACATTTCACTACAATCTGGTGGTCACTAAGACATGAAGAATGGGTTACGATGTGAATCGGTTTGTCAAATGCAATGACATTAATATAGACCTGATTTGCAACATCTGCAGAGGAGTTCTCGAGGAAGGCGTTTGGGTCCCAGACTGTGAGCACTCCTTCTGCAGAGGTATTCATATATCTGTTTGTTTGGCATTAATGGTCACTCAATTGTCTCCTCACTCACAGAATGCATCAACAATTGGTTGTCGCGAAGAAATGTGTGTCCAAACGACAGACAATACCTGAGTCTCACTCAACTCAAGACAATCCCCCGATTTATGCGCAATATTTTGGACAAATTGGAGATTAAGTGCGATTTCATTGGCAATGGATGTCCACAAGTGGTTACTCTCGAGTCTCTCAGACAACACGTGTCTGTCTGTGACTTCAATCCCGAGAAACGTGTGGAATGTATGTCCGGTTGTGGTCTTATCATTAAGAAGGCAGACCTCGAGAGCCATAACTGTGTGAAGGCTTTGCGCCAAAGAGTCAATAATCTGATCGAAGATAACATGAAATGCGAACGAACCGTATCTGAAGTGAGACACGACTTGACTTCCTTGAGGAATGACAACAAACGGATCAATAATTTGTTGGATTGTCTGCAAAAGGATGTCAACAGACTCTTAGTCGACAAACAGAGCTCTGTGTCGACTGAATGTGAGGGCACTTCCGTCCCACAGACCTCTTTGTCGACCACTTCATTGTCAACTGCAGTCAAATACAACGAAAGGAACACTCGATTGGTTCCCAACCCCTATGTCCTCATAACACCTCTGCACCTTCTAAAACTTTAAACTAATGTATGAATAAATAGTTTATTTTACAGTTTATTTTAAATACAAATATTTGTTTAATTTATTGACTCTTTAAATGTTGAATGAATTTTGATGTAAAATAAAAACATATTTTAATGAAAATACAAATTTTTAAGTCTTTGAAAGTTTGACCCGACTCTGCAGTGTGACACTGTGTTCATGATAGCCCAACAACACATTCACTGCTTTCACTGTTTTGTGCACTCATTGCAGTAAACATCGCATGCATTGCAGTGACACTCAGTGTTACTGTTAGACAGCCATCAGTGCATTGAATTGCGTTATAATCGTAACATTGATTACTGTTATTAATAACATTTCACTACAATCTGGTGGTCACTAAGACATGAAGAATGGGTTACGATGTGAATCGGTTTGTCAAATGCAATGACATTAATATAGACCTGATTTGCAACATCTGCAGAGGAGTTCTCGAGGAAGGCGTTTGGGTCCCAGACTGTGAGCACTCCTTCTGCAGAGGTATTCATATATCTGTTTGTTTGGCATTGCTTTGAATGAATGGTCACTCAATGGTCTCACTCACAGAATGCATCAACAATTGGTTGTCGCGAAGAAATGTGTGTCCAAACGACAGACAATACCTTAGTCTCACTCAACTCAAGACAATCCCCCGATTTATGCGCAATATTTTGGACAAATTGGAGATTAAGTGCGACTTCATTGGCAATGGATGTCCACAAGTGGTTACTCTCGAGTCTCTCAGACAACATGTGTCTGTCTGTGACTTCAATCCCGAGAAACGTGTGGAATGTGTGTCCGGTTGTGGTCTTATCATTAAGAAGGCAGACCTCGAGAGCCATAACTGTGTGAAGGCTTTGCGCCAAAGAGTCAATAATCTGATCGAAGATAACATGAAATGCGAGCGAACCGTATCTGAAGTGAGACACGACTTGACTTCCTTGAGGAATGACAACAAACGGATCAACAATTTGTTGGATTGTCTGCAAAAGGATGTCAACAGACTCTTAGTCGACAAACAGAGCTCTGTGTCGACCGAATGTGAGGGCACTTCCGTCCCACAGACCTCTTTGTCGACCACTTCATTGTCAACTGCAGTCAAATACAACGAAAGGAACACTCGATTGGTTCCCAACCCCTATGTCCTCATAACACCTCTGCACCTGAATGTGAGGGCACTTCCGTCCCACAGACCTCTTTGTCGACCACTTCATTGTCAACTGCAGTCAAATACAACGAAAGGAACACTCGATTGGTTCCCAACCCCTATGTCCTCATAACACCTCTGCACCAGTCATTGGGATCAAGTGATGAGCCCTCGAGTTCCACATTCATTGGATCAGCCAATCGTCTCACTGGCGATGAGCCGCCATATAAGCGAAGATCAACCCTCCGAATGGCCACTCCTTCGCCCAGTAGTCGACCCCTCTCTACAACAATCAGCTCATCACTGATGCACTCATACTCCCCTCCGAGTGCCACCTATTCCAGTGCTCACGAGGACAGCTTCATAAGCACACCGCCATCTGCATCGCCGCGATTCATATCAAACGTGACCACAATTTCTCCCTCAACCGACTCGTTATCTCCAGACGAAGAGGCGACTACTGCTGTCACCCTTTCAGACAACTTAACTGAATCCTATAATTACATCAGTTTGGACGTCGACCAAGAGTCGGGAACAGGTTTTATACCATTTCCTAATATTGTCAATACGTATACTTAAAAACTTTTACCACTTTTAGATCACGAAGACGACAGCGAAACCTTAGAACAGGTCAATGAATATGACATCGATATTGTCTCTAATGAGTGATCACTTTAATCACAATTTGCTTTCAATTTAACATTTTTCTTATTTAAAATTATTACAAAATAACTAAAATTGTTTTTTTTTATAAATAAAAGGTTTAATCAATAAAAACATTCAATCGACTCTTTGCTGACACACGTGTCTAACAATTAATTATTAACTTAATCAGAGAATTGTTGTGTTTTAAGAGAATCAATGCTTTAATTATTCAATACATAGTGTATTGTATGACATAATAGAAGGATTGGTTGCACTGAAAACCGGTGGACCAACTCATCAGACAATAGCCGATGCAATAAACTGCGCCACTTCTTGGTTCTGGGAGCGGACAGTTAGCTTCATAGTTACGCCATCAGTGGTGGCCGAGAGGGCTAACTTGGATCTGACCAGCACTTCATCGACACCTCTGAAAATGCCCGACAAATAGACGGTATGAGAGCTCTTGCCTTCGGGCACTTTGTCTGATCTGTCGCAGGCATGCATTCCCATGAATGACACGATATTTTTGATCGCTTCCTCTATGGTCTTGAAGTTCGAGAGCGCATACGTCTCCTCAACCTCGCAGTCGGGGCTCATCTCATCCCAAGAACTCATGAAATTAGGTTTCATTATTCGTTGCATATAGTCGGCTACCAATAGGTCCACGTCTTCCAACACGTATTCATCCGAATATCTAAATAAACAATACATTCAATCGTATAGTTAAATATCAAGCGATGGATGTTTGACAGCATACCCCTCGTCATCGAGCACTTGTCCAGTGTTAGGATCGCAGTCTTTGACCGTATATTTAAGGGTAACGTTTGAAAATGTGGTCGAAAAGAGGTTTATGTCATCAGTTTCTAACGACAGGCATATATAGGCTGTTCCGGGAATGTTGTAAACCAGTTTCGGACACTCGACTGCACTCACTATTTCGAAGCCTTCGGGAACCTGAATGGGATGGACAACAGACAATGAGATTGAGTTAATGTTCATATGATATGGTTTGATGGTTGGCTGAGACCTGCATCGAGATGTTGACTCTCTCGAGAATCTGATCGTTCAAAGTGTTGGTGCAATCGAATTGCAAAACCACATGACTTTTGAATATATGTTTAATACATTGGACGACATATTCGGTTTCGGATTCAGTCAACTCTATAGGAAGTGAAGACTTTATAATTGGACCCAATTTTAGTGAATTGAGTTCAGGAATTGAAGCCAATTGTTCGGCGTATATGTCTTGACGTGTGGCCGCAATCTTCTCTCCCGGCGCTTTCAATTGATTGTTCATAACATTGGAACTGTTGTTGACGTTTGTCTTTTTGGCCAATTCGTCAGACATGAGAGGAGTGGTAGAAAGTGGTACTGATTTTATATCAAAGGGAACGTCTGAAGTGGACGTGTCTAACAGATAGGACTGTAACGCCTTCTCTAAGCCTACGATTGAGACTTGAAGTGGATTTATAATGAATGATAAATAGAGTGACTTTTGCTTCTGTTTCAAGACATGCAGATAATATGTGGACCGATCGCGCACTTCGTCATCCGTGTCTAGTGTCGACCTCTCCAACAGCACCAGTATTTGTGGTAACAGTTCCTCACAATGAGCTCCAAATTTGGCCAAAGAGGAGACAGCGGCGGCCCTCACCTGAGCGTTCTCTAGGATCAGGCGGTTGTAGATAAAGCGGATATATTTCGATGGGTTCGAAGTCCTGGTGCCCTCTTTGCCCAATAGGTGTAGTATTCTGACGGCTAGACCCGTGTGCTCGCAATCCTCGATAAACTCGCAGAGATGTGCCAAACCGGCCTCTTTGGCCTCCGGGTTGTCCTCTATTATGGAGATAATAGTGTCCACAATAGACTTCTTGTATTCATAGCCTCCCTCTTCCCTCAACATAGTGGACAGGAATGTCATCATAACGTTGTGTTTTCGGGGAAACTTCTGACACAACTGACGGGTCGCTCCGACCACTACTATCTTAAACTCATCCGATATTTCCGACATAAACGAAGCGATTTGTTTCATAAGCCGTTCCACAGAACTCTCATTACCGGTCTTAAGGAGTGTTGTGATGGCGAGAGTGGCGATCGATCGGTTCGAGTCAGTGATCAGGTTCTCTAAGTCCACATTACAGGCCATAACAGCGTTCGGGTGACTCATCGCTACTTTGTTTAGAGTGCGAACGGCAGCGAAACGGAGGGTTGGCTTCGGAGACGACAGGAATAGCTGGAGGACAGACACCGCAGGGTTTAGCTCGCGTTGAGACGTGAACTGGAGGTTAACGATAGCATTGGCCGCTTCGTAGACAACCATTTCTGACTTATGGCGTAAACAGGACTCAATGAACTCGAAGTACGGACTGTCGGGACCACTGTTTTCGTCTTCAATTAATTTGCTGGCGATTCGTATGAGAAGACACAAAGCGTACGGAGACTTGAGACCCGAGCGCACGAATTTGGTCACCAGTTTAGTGACCGCCAAACGATCCGTTTTGCGGATGTGATACAAGAGACCCAACGCGTGGTTTTGAACCATAATATTGTCCGAATTCACCGCTTCCTGGGCCTCATTCACCCAACGCTTCACTCCATCCGCAATGGTTTTCGTCAGATGTAGTGATGACACCAATGCCGCCGACGCCACCGATGGGTTCTTGTCGACGATCGCTTGCTTCATATACCTCTCGATTCCCTGCAATCGTCGAAATCAATGAGTCCGCAAACCAGTGACCAATCAATGAGTAATGAGATAATCACCTGAAAAGTGGTGGCGTCTGTGATCTGGCAGAGGGCTCGCATGGCAGCGGGTCTGCACTGATCGTCCTTCGCGTTCATATCAGTTGTGAGACTACTGGTCACGACATAGACATTCTCCGCCACTTTCGACAGCTCTTTGATACCGATGTACACCAGTCGCCGAAGAGTCGTGTCTTTCGACTGAAACAGTTTCGTCATATTGAAGAAGGCGTCGGT